ACGTGCGTCGATGACAAACCAGTCGCAGCAGAGAGGATGAAGACCAAAGAAAACGTCTACGGAGACGAGCCCGCCATCAAACATGCTTATCTGGGTGCCGCCAAAATGCCGCCGGCTACTGATGCTTTCGCGCAAGATGATGAGGATGACGAAACTCATCATTACATGTCCATCGATGTCGAAGAGAGCTTGGTGGATACGACGACGGATAAGCCGTTGAAGTACGCCGAACTTGATCTGACTCAGAAGTCTCCAAAGGACAAAAAGAAACCCAAAGTAAAATGGGCTGATGGTGGTGTCGTCTATACTGAACTCAACATATGAATGAAGCAATGGTAACAAACATCGAAGAATGTAAATATTTTAATGGATTCAAATGTTTGATAGAAATACCGGTTTATATGAATTTCTGTATTGTTTCAGTTTTTCGCTAGCCCTTCTGCCTTGTCGGGTGACGACGCCATTGGAAATTCTCGGTAAAGTCACTCACCTAGATGTAGAAAATTATCTTCCAAAGTTGTGACGAGGCTTTTTGACGATAGTTTTATAATATGTATATCTATTTGGCCGTTCGAGTAACGATGAGGATGAAATCAAACCTTTTTTTTTATCAGTAGGATACCGGGGACGGAAAAATTTAGACTGTATCATGTCGAGAAGTCGGTAAAAAAGTGAGTAAATAATTGATTTTTGTTCGCATTCTAATACTACTTTGAAAAGAGTGCCACTTACTTATCGGATGTCATTACTGTGTCTGAATGCTCAAGCTATTCAGCGTGTTAGCTAGCCTAGATAGATTTGTACTATTATCGCAAGTGACGTACGATTTAGAGCAATGATAAGCAAGAGGCTTCGACAGTGTGATCTCAAGGATTTTCAAGTTACTTTGTGGCCGAGACAAATTCAACGATTGGAAGACGATATCAAAGTCTTGTTACTAATAATTTATGCTGGAGGAAGTTCATGAATTGAGCTCAAAATGATCAATGGCAAAAATAAATTAAATTATTTTTTAGTTGTTACACTCTTGGCAGTCTATTTATCATATCATCATCCATTTCACTAGTTTGCTCAAATTTAACAGAGTAGTAAACTAAATGTAAATATCAATAACCCGATATACCAGAAAGTTATCTCTGGAGTGCTCATAAATTATGGGGGAAACTTAAAAGAACATATTGGATAGTTTTATTTATTTCTGATGTGTGTTCAAAAAGTTTGTATTAATCTTCTCTTTCTTGTGTACTCCCCGTAGAAACTACGGGTTGAGGGCGGGAGGGGGGGGGGGGGGGGGGTGGACGCATGGGAGAAAAAGAGAAAGAGAAAAAAGGATATGGAGAGCGGGATGGATAGCGTGACAAAAAGGTGATCATAGGGCCTCTTCCCAAACCCTCTCCCTAATTATTATTATTTTTTTAATGGCATTTCATCCACCTCTCACACTCTCGCCCTCTCGCCCTACCCCATGTTGCCAGAGTCGCCTCAATACGTGTCGTGTGCCTTTGGCCTCGGAGATATTAGGTAAACTTTTATAGTTGGCCAATGTCGCGTATCTAATAATTTACTTGCAGTTATTGCCTACGTGGTTTTAAAAAGTTCATTCAATTAATTGCTTTTTTCTGTATAAACTTACTGCCCACAACAATAAATGATTCAGATTCACATCATTTGGTAGATAATGGAAAACACTTCACCAGGGACGTGACGTCAATTACTGACGTCACTTTTTCTATTCATGCAATATAGGAATTGTTTCACTAACCACTTCAGTTTGAACTTTGAGACAATGTGAAGTTACCATAACATGACTCACCACGATATGTAATTTATAGCACAAGTACGGATGTGTGTCAGTGTGGGAACTCACGGTCACAACTTAAATCATGTTAATTTGAACTTCGAGACAACAACAAACTAATCATGACCCATGTATATGTGTTTAACACTTTGTGTTTTTATTTCACTTTACAATACCATAGTACGATATGTATATTTACATTATTTATAACTCTGTGTCGTGCCTTACCAAACCTGGGCGTTGATCTGTGTCGTTGTTAATGTGCTTATTTTAGTTGGTTGTAAATATCGAATTGCACAATTGCAATTAAAGTAGGTTATCAAGGCATAGTTCATGATTTTAAGATCATTAATAACATTAACATCAAACATTAGCAGTACATTAAGGGTTATATGAAAGCAAGTTTAATTTTCTAGAATATGTCAGAATGAATTCATGAAAATTTCGTAAAAACGTTACCAAGACTTAGGCTGATAGAGGGGCTTATAGAAATAACATCGTACATTGCAATAAAAGGGAACAGCTCATCTGTGTACGTAATCTAATTACTAAATATTGACTGCATAATCGTGTTCATTTTATAAAACGATAATGAATTGAGAAACATACATGTACTTTAACAAGGCGTAGGAAGTGAATAATTACAATTTGTGTTCTGTGCTAATGAAATGCCTGCTAAAATCTCTTTTTATTTGAATATGAATAGTACGTAGTCACATTTAACCCCCTTCTTTTTTTATAGAACTTATCTGGTCGATTTATGTTTAGTTGTGCATATAATTACATTTTCATGGTTGCAGTAGATATCATCATGGTGCTCTTATGCATATATTTTACCTCAATAAAATACTCATAGAATTCCTCTTCCGATGTGATTTCCTGTATGAAAGTATCGAAACCTTCAATAAAATTACTCATCTGTTGCTATGTTACCGATTTCTGTCACCATTATTATTCTTTGTGGTCTTAGTATACTACTATTCAAATAAGCTTCCAATTTGATTACATATATTCATTTACGTAAAAGTCGGTTCTCTTAAAATAGGCCGAGACAATATGTTATATCACTTTCTTGAATTCTATTAGCCCTGTACTATTATTTACTGTCATGTAGTACCATGTTAGGGCATGTTAATTTGTGAAAACAACGCTTCTTTACATTACGAACTCACATAAAGAAAATATCGTGCAATTGGATTACTTTGGCGTTTGGCCACTAACCCGTAACGGTACTTGGCGTTGATAAAGAAAGAAATACATACAAGTTCATCTATCAGTAACCGATAATTACAGTGTTTCTAATAGATTTTCACGTTTTTACAATATATACAGTCAGAATTAAATAAATCTTATTAAAATGTACATATTCATATACACAGTATTACACATGAAGAAATGACAATTTAATATACTTTGTAGACCATGAAGATATATCAATATAACTTTCTGAATATTACACACACATTTGATGATATTGTTAATTATTTTAAAGAAAATGAATGAAATAAAAGCGAATTTAAGACAAGTGATAATTGCCTATACTATGAATTCATTGTTGTCGAAATATATATATTCCATAAGCGTTTGTACTTTCACATGCTTAATCATGCCCACAATCAAACGATAAAACACTTGGAAAGATGCATTATCCAGCATCATATCACATGCCATTGTTAATAAAAGGCGCACACTTATGTAGTAGATTGTATTGAATCTAGTAACCGCTGATGTAGTGCATGTATTTGGTATTATAAGGAAGGAGTATAGGTCTAAATACTATTACTGTAAAATTGTTGTAGGAGGAGGAGGAGGTAGAGGAGGAGGAGGAGGAGGACGACGAGTAGGAGCAACATAAGTAGTAGTACTAGTAGTGGTGCAAATAGTCGTAAGTAGAAACTGTGGTAACTGGAATAGTAATATTTCAAAATGCAGCAGCAGCAGTATAGTATAGATAAACGTAGAAGTATAGTAGAGGTAGCAATTAGCGTAGTATTAGTACTGATAGTAGTAGTGGTGGTAAACTCTTGGTATATACATACATGTACATGTTGTTATGAATATGCAAATTATGTTATTGCAATATGTTAATTTAAGACATGACGTGTTGTTAGATGATCAAGCTGATAACCACGAACCAAATGTAACGAATCGTCCGATTTCGTCTTGATTTTTAATGTATTTATTTTATTCTAAGTTGTTATAGGGTATTGTGTAATTTAATTGCCCTGACCAAACAATGTATACTACTACTACTTACTAGTAGCAGCAGCATCAGTAGAAGTAGTACTCTGTAGTAGTATAGTAGTAGTAATAATAGTAGTAGTTATAGAGCATATTGTTGTTGTTGTTCTAGTAGCATTAGAAAGTAGAAAGTAGAAGTAGAAGTAGTAGTAGTAGTAGTAGTAGTAGTAGTGATGGTGGTAGTGTAGTAGGAGTAGTAGTGATGGCGGTAGTGTAGTAGTAGTAGAAGTAGTAGTATTAGTTGTAGTAGTAGAAGTAGTAGTAGTAGTAGCAGGAGCAGCGGGAATAGTATAGTAGTAGTAGTTGGAGCAGCAGCAGTAGTAGAAGTATGAGAGGTAGTAGTATAGTTATAAGTAGTAAAATCCATGAGTACTAAAAAAAAAGATGATTGTAGTTATAGTAGTAATTGCAGTAATATATGTTGTGGTGGTAATAGTAGTAGTATCATCATTAGTAGCATTAATAGGAGTAGTAGCATTAGTAGTAGTAGTAATAGTAGTAGTAGTACTATTAGTAGTAGTAGTAATAATAATATAATAATAGTAGTAGTAGTAGTAGTAGTAGTAGTAGTAGTAGTAGAAGTAGTAGTAGTAGTATTAGTAGAAGTAGTAGTTGTGGTAGTGGTAGTGGTGATGGTAGTGGTAGTAGTAGTAGTAGGAGAGTGGGGATCGTTGGTAGTAGTAGAAGTAGATATGTAGGGATAAATAGTTGTAACGGCAAATCTTAGTAGATGTGGTGGTGGTAGTAATAGTAGCAGTGATGGTAGTAGTAGATGTAGTAGTAATAATAATACTATTAGTAGTAGTTGTAGTAGCAGTGGTAGTAGTATTAGTAGTAATAGATGTGGTGGTGGTGGTGGTGCCGGTGGTGGTAATATAAGAAGAAGAAGTAGTAGTAGTATTAATATAATTAGTAGTAGTAGTATAGTAGTAGTAGTAGTAGTAGTAGTAGTATTAGTAGTAGTATTAGTAATAGAAGTAGTTGTAGTGGTAGTAGTGGTAATATCAGCAGCAGCACCAATAATTATTATTGTTATTATCATTATTTTTAGTCGTAGTGATGGTGGAAGTGGTAATAGTAATACGAGGATGAGGAGGAGGAGGAGGAGGAGAAGGAGGGGTAGGATTATTGGTGGTTGTAGAAGTAGATGTGTGGGGAGAAGTAGTTGTAACAGCAATTAGTTTCAGTAGTATAAGCTACTTCATACTTTAGGACATAGGTATCTATAAATGTTTCAATTCTGCATCATTATGGAACGTAAATGACTGGCTTCAATAACTATATACGATATGTTTAGGATCTGTTACTGTTAAATTAAAACATCTGGTATTACAGCCATCAGAAGTATGATGTAATGTATGAAGAGATAGTAAGATAAAAAAATTAAAGACAAAATGTATAACTATGTGTAAATAAAAAAATGTAATAATAAGAATATTAAGATACAATGATTGATATGCATTGGCTTACCGCGTATCTTTAAAAAGTGTTCTACGGTCAACAGAGGCATCTGAGAATGAGCCATGGCATGCAAGCATCCCCAACATATCAGAATCATATCAGAGTCCTACAACTAGGAAATCTACACTTAGTAAAACTTACCTGTTATATTTTTTTCTGCATGGAGTATGTACTTCTTATCTAACAGTTATGTACATATTATTGTCAAGGTCGGTATTCGTAAAAACAGACATCAAGAAATAACGTTCCACCATGATGGTTATATAATTATACCACTCCACAGTTAAGTGCCCAACCGTAAAAGTGATGAATAAATATGAATATCACTATAAAAGGGTTTTATAGGATATTGCGTTGTACCTAATTTAAAATATTCTCTGTCTCTACATTTTCATCTATACATTATTATTTACCTCTTTCTTTCTCATTGCCTATAAACGCATTTCCCGGTCATTATCATGACTCAACTAAAACAACAAAAATATCGGAGATTGCAACAATAAATAAAGCATTTCTTTTGATTGAAGGGCAAATTGATAACAACTTACAGTAACAAAAAAAGCCTTTTAAATATTATATGATTTACACACACAGTCATACTATATTCTTTTTGACAAAGTCTTGTGAAATGTAGGTCAAAACAAAATTCCAAAATACACATAAATAGTTAAATGTACATTTTTCTTAAACCGATTCTGAAGAGGCTGATAATTGCCCCACGACCCATCGCCATCAGTTTCCATATTCTGACGAATCTTCTAGACTTCAAAATTTAGTCGCACATTTACAGTTTTCTATTCTGAAACAAAATAATGTCCACATGTGTCCACACAAGTCATATCATGAAGAAATATATTGTTACAATAATCCACGACGTTCAAACAAAATAAGTTAATCTAAGTGTTCCTTATAAAGTGTGATTCCTCTTCGGGAAAATTAGAAGCAGACCCCATCGATAGCTCTTAACCATGTCATCTCTTGCATGGTGAATCTTGTTAGTAAGAGATTAGACAGGTTCTTCAACAGTGCTCTTGCCTCCTATTTGCATTGTCCTTTATTTAGGTCACGTGGCATCAAAGTTCTCTTTCTCTTCTCCGTGAGTTTCCAAACATCCGTTCCCTGCATACACTTGTGACCTTGAAATCTTTATTCGTCTTAACTGAGTCCTTTGTATTTCGTCGTGACTTCGACACGTTACAATCATCTGACGGAAATCGAAAGTCCATTTAATCCCACTCAGGAAACCGTCATTTGAGAGGTACCTATAGGAAAAAAAGTGAAAGGAAATACTCTAAAAGATAAGTTTGAGTTCAGGTAATGATAGGAAAAGAAATTCTCACAGAATCCCACAAAACTCGAACCGAATCTTAAAGATTACAAATAAATGATATGTGCCAAACGATTTTGGGAGAAAACGTATAGCGGCTGAGTAATGATCATCGAAAGGTAAGGACATCAAGGTAAGTATAAGCCCGACACCATGTGCTTAACATTATGTCACTATGTACAAATGAAAGTTGTAGTTTTTATTGAAAATGATTTCCAGCATGTTTTTGTGAGTTTGTTTTTATTTACTGGTTCAAACAATCTACTGCAGGACACACAATCCAGAATGAATTATAACCATGTTCTCTCGACATAAGATTCCCACATACCAGAGCTCAAGATTAGCTTTAAACATTTGTGTCAAGAATAACATCCCAAGATTTATCTTTTAGTTTTAAACAGGCTTTACAATTCTTTTGTTAGTAATTAGAGATTAAATAGTACATCTTTCATCAAAACGCACTACCCGCGGTAAATGAAAGTTTCGGGTAATAGGGTACACTCTACTTCGTCCATGGAGCCCACTTGGGGAGAGACCGAAGCTTTGAGATCTTAAAAGTTTCCCTACTAAAAACTTCACTCTCGTTAGATTATAGGGTTGGTGAACCCTGGATTGCCAACTGGATTGTCACCCTAGTGTGCTATATTTGCAATATCTGAAAGGAGAAATTAATCATGTTGCTTCATAAAACCAAAGCTAATGATTATATATTTTTGTATAACTTTAACTGGACATCTAAATAACTCAAGGCTATTATATAGGTTGAACAGTTTTCATTTTCAAGGTATCTTAAAGATATCTCTTTTACCCACTAAAGTGTGATCATTCGTACTTGAAACAGCGCCCTCTGTCTGTAATCTTCCTTTGATCCATTGGTTGTTTGTTCCCTGATTTTGGTTGCTGTGTCGATTTACGCTGTTGTTATGATGAGGATGATGATGACCATACCCTTGCTTGGCCGTCGGGCTGGACTTCATCGACCATCTCATGGTGTACGTCGACGTCTTTTGGTCCGTCATGCTGGAGTCGGGGCGGCCGATGATCACGGCACAGCACGAGGCGCAGAAGCTGTCGAAGATGTGCAGATTGCAACATCCGTAGACGAGGGGGTTGAAGCATGAGTTGGACAGTCCGAAGAGGAAAGCGACCTCGTAAACGATGCGCATGGCTAGAGAGGCGGGGTGGTCGGAGAAATGCCAGGCATACACCAGAGCTGCCACTACGTAAGGGGTCCAGTTGACGACAAACGCGAGAAAGATGGTGATGATCATTCTCAATGTCCGATGCTGAGCACGCATGAAGAGCCGTGATCGAGCCTTGTGTTGCTGGGAAATGTTATCTTCAGCGTCATTGATGCTTAATCCTATGAAGAAGAAAAAAAATCACGTCATTTAAATCTGTAATTATTCCTTTTCCATTAAACGTTTTATTCTGACGTTTTATCCTATGAACGGAATAAATCATAATTCACGTTGGACGCGATGCGTCATTTTGATTGCGTAAACAAGCAAGATTTAACCATACACCAGCAATTTAAATCAATGTGTATGCCAACAATCGTCTGGCGTTCACTTTTTGTGTGATGGCAACTTCACATTGCGGGTCAAGATCGTGCCAGGTGCTGACGAAATTTCACGTCAGGCAAATAATGCCTCATGCGCAGCAAACATTACCTTCGTTATAAATCTTACAATTTCATTTTACATCAATTACAATATGTTCATAAACGTTCATTATAAGTCGCCTTAGATTAACAATTAAATAGGTTTTGATGGTGTTTCTTGAAAGCATGCTGCGTTACTATTTTCAAAATGAATTGTATAACCTCAGATTTCTGTTCACGAATCTTTTTTGATGTTAAGGGCTCTCGAGGAAGTCACTTGAGAGGTACCCCCCGTTACCAAATCCATAATCGTCGGTAATCTGGTAAATAATAATACATTTATACTTTTGACAAGATGAGTAGACCCCACCTCTTTTTCCTATCCATTCAAAAAATTTACTGTAATACTTTGGGGGTACCTTCTTCTAGAAAAACCGAATCAACAACAAGTATAAAAAAAAAACTGGACATCTTTAACTTCTCCTTCGATCTATAATCTTTCTTTTTATTTGAGAGCGATTCAATTGGTTGGAGGTCAGTAGACATGTATACGTAATTATGTTTCCCGCTTACATCACCAACCATACGTGTTCATGGTTTCTTACCTTTAGAACTTTCTCTTCTTATTTTAGCAAAGATGGCGATGTAAGCGGTGAACATGATGAACATAGGAGCCACGACCTGTATGAAGAGTACTAAGGTGGTGTAAATACCACTCGCTATCCCATCCATCTGACGAATCGTCACACACTGGTAGAACACGAAGTCGAAAGGAGCCCTCTCCGAGTAAAATAGGGCCATCTGTTCGAAAATAATAAAACATCAAATTGTTAAAATACAATGAGTATACAACTAAACTTGTCAAAATGTATTTTGAGTGACGTTTAATATATCGGAAATTATGTCTTTCTAAATTTGTGAACAAGATACCAATTATAAGGAGAAAAACAGTTTGTAATATTACCATTAACAAAAGTGTCGCCCCACTCTTTCTACATTCTGCCACCTTCTTTATGTTTCTCTTAGTTTCTCTTTCTCTGTCTCTAGTTATGTCTCTTATCTTCTTTTTGTCTGCATGTCTCTCCCTCTCTCTCTCTCTCTCTGTGGCTCTCCATCATTTGTCTCCCCCTCTTTCTTTCTTTGTTTCTTTTTCTCCTTTTCTCTCTATCTCTCCCTTTCTCCTTCCCCCTCTCTCCTCCTCCTCTTTCTCCTCCTCCCCTCCATGTTAAACAATTAACATCCTCTTAACATTACCCACGTATTTGTACTTGAAGTGAAACTGCCCTTCGAGCATCAACCCATATTAAACGCTACAGGGCATGTAACGTCGCATGTTATTGGCATGTTCTGAACATCACACGTTTCTTCGAATTCCACACAATACGATTGCATGATAATCTTGTAATCAGAAACTAATCTTACTTTCTGTACTCCTGTCAAGCTGATGACATCTTAGACGAGTGAGAGGAGGAGGAGATAAGAAACCTAATGATTAATACAGGATGTAAATGCCAAATTAAAAAGCCAATGTTTTAAAGGTAGCGTTTTCCTTTCGCTAGGCGAGTTGAATCAGTCGGTAAAAGCGTCCGTCTGTCGAACCAAAGATCCCGGGTTCGACTCCCACCCAGGCGGATGACTGAAGCCTGCGTTGTGTGTTAACGTGCCCCTCCCCTTGTTCATAGACGCAGGTTATGTTAAGTGGAAAACACTCCGTCCCTCGGATAGGACGTTAAATGGAGGCCCCGTGTAGAGAAGAGTCACTACCTTTGCACGTTAAGAACCCACTGCACTATTCGTATAAGAGTAGGGGAAAACCCTGGTGTAGTGGTCCACCTGCACCCCCTAGTACAAGTTAGGGACATGCGGAATACCGCCCTGCTGACTCCAAATTCAGAAGGTTCAGAAGGTACCACTATGAATATGACTGACAAAGAAAGCGGACAAAATATACAGTTCCTCAGGTAGACAAAGGAACGTCTCTTCACTGCTCTTATGTAAAAATGTGTGGAACAGGTGTCACATGCATATTCACCTTTTTACATAATAGCAGTGAAGGGATGTTCCTTTGTCTACCCGAGGAACTCTATATTTTGTCCGCTTTCTTTGTCAGTCATGTTCATAGTGCTACTACTACTACTACTACTACCACCACCACTACAACCACCACTACTACTACTACTACTACTACTACTACTACTACTACTACTACTACTACTAATACTACTACTACTACTACTACTACTACTACTACTACTACTACTACTACTACTACTACTAGTACTACTACTACTACTACTACTACTACTGCTACTACTAACTACTACTACTACTACTACTAATAACAATTGTGGGTTCTTTTATAGCGATTATGTCTGTCAAATTTGACACTCCTGGCGCTCTATATGGGTTCGATCCTTGATCGGTTCTTATACTCTTAGACGAGGTATTTCATCAACATTTGATCATCTTGACCAGTGAGTATTTTAATGGGAGTCTGGTAATGCTGAAGCAACTACAGGACCCCCAGGAAAAGCAGTATCATTACTGATGAGACTACCCTGGGGGAATAAGACCGTATACTATCATTTTTGATACAGAAAGAATTTGTTCGGCACAGCCGGCTACGTGGTCTACTTGGTCTACTTTTAATATCTCTTTGGAATCATTTGCAATATAGGACAAACTGATTCGATTTCAAGAAGATTGAGTGGACGCAATATTAGATGACTTTGTCGTATCTAGACATGCTCCTAGAACAATCGAGAAAAGGATTCTAACATGGATTTATTCTTAGAAAAGGAAATTAAGATCGACGTTCGATGTATCCCTGCTACATACAATTAAATCTGCACCAAATAAAGGTCACCGGCATCCATGGTTCGATTGGAAGACAGTTGAACAATGCTCAGATAGATGTGTGTTAACGTGCCATCCACACTCGCCCGCAGCGAAAAACAACCTGTCCATTAAACACGTTAATTAGATGCCCCGTGTGGAGGAGGGCCATAACCTAGGCACGTCACTAACCCAATGTACCCTTCGTAAAAGTATTAGGGAAACCACTTACAGGTACAGGTGACGAATAATATGTCTTATAAAACCTATAAAACTTACAATTACAATAACAAAGTTACCAAATTTTCAATGTATTTTGATTTAATATGTTAACTAATTTTTGATCAACTATGTAAGCGATGTACTCTACGGTGTGTATATTGTGACGACACTATCAAAGTAAACACACATCCGCACGACCGCACACATATGGCGTACCCACACATTTTGAGAAAACGATCACACACATTTACCAATCGATGCAAATTACGCGATTTTATTCATGTAATACAACACTAACATTTCATTTTTCTGTCGAATTTGTTCCCATGGGATGTAAAAATAGCTATGCAACCCCCATGAATCAATAGAAACTATGAAATAGATATTATAATCAACACACCTTGTTATTGAAAAAGCTTTAGAGTGGATATCATTACGAAATAGAAGTAATGGGTTCCCTATCAGAAAGCAAGTCATATTTTAATTTCTCTTTATGATCCAAAAAGATTGAGACGCCTCTTGCTATGCTGATTTTCCTAAGAAACTACCGCTAAATGGCTCCAAATAGATTGAATTAGTCATTTTAAAGCAAATGATGGACTAACTTTGTTCATCATTTTCAATGGGAGGCCAGTTAACATAGATTTTGCGAATATCTGAGGGTCATGAAACGGTGTCCAGTTTACTACTTCGCGATAGTCATATTGAAACTACGACATTGACACTTTATGGCGCGCGCTTCTTTCACTATTACCGAGTCACAAACGAAATTGATATTTGCATAGAGCCCATACTCCCCTTTTTACATCTAGATTGCTTTGATTTGGAGCCTAGAGAAGCTTCGCTGACGATAATTAACTGAAACTTGAATCTTAGATATTCGGGTTGTTTGAACCAAGCAGACCAGGGCAACCACTGGAAAATGCAAAACAAGTGCGATGATTACACCTTGGACGATTTTTAAAATTAAAATGGGTTCTTGTGTTCCTGTTTCCGAAGTAAGGGCAAATTTCATTTCGTGTGGTACGCTTCGAGAAGAAAAAATGTCACTCTGTGACGCCGTGCTTAATTTGCTCCTAGGTGAATGTCTGTTTGGCTAACACTTTACTCCTGAATAGTAGAAGTTGTTAACTAACTCAACATACATGACGACGACGACGAGGCGTATTTGCGTAATGCCTTTTATGCTCGCTTAGATTTCTTTAGTAAAATGTATATCGATTCTTTGTCTCAAATTTTTTATTGCATGTTCCCATGCAAACACTCGGGCATTATCACTGTTATTTTGTACTGTGTGTGTTATCACGTGTTACTTATTGATGTTGAGAAACGAAATTGGAAATCTGACATTTCAGAGTGATATACAATACAATCTTTGCATCACACATGGGGTAGTAGACATAAATAAGCATACTAAGTAGCATCGATGAGAAAGTTCAATTTTTTTTGCGTATACAAGCAACGTATAATTTTCCCAAATTGTACACAGATGAATAGAATAAAAGAAAAGACAAGACAAGAAAAAAGTTAAAGAATTTGATTTTAAAGCCTTATTGCAATTTTGTTTGTAAGAATATGGTTCAAGTTTCATTGTATTTAATTTAAATTAATACAGCATACATAATTAGAGAATAGTAAACCGTAAATCAAAAATTGAGAAAACGTGAACCAATTCGTAAAGTCCACTGATATGAATATTAAGAATAACGCTCACTATATGACGAAAGAGTGTAAACTCTGAAAGAAGCAGTAGTGGTCGAGAGGGAGAGAGAGAGAGAGAGAGAGAGAGAGAGAGGGAGAGAACAATAGGTAAGAAAAAAGAAGGAAGATGAATGAAATGTGGTTGAAGCTAGAGAGTTGACGATGAAAATCGTATAGGGAAAGGGGGCGTTACATATTTCATTTTTCCCAAAGCCCACTTTCTACATATATATTTCTGTCTTCTTTTCTTGTTCGTCTAAAGTTTCATGGAATTTCCTTCCAAACGTAGACATTTGGAAATGTGGAGGGATTTGTTGCGTCTAGATCTGCACGTGTATAGCCTCTGGATAGCCTCTCATGCGTCTAATTTGCTCTTCAAATGAGCCATACGATTGGAAACATTTGATATCACTAACAGGATTACAATCAGTACCCAGTATAGGGAGATAATGGTAAGGGACAGTGTGCTGCAATGGTGTCACAATGTAGGTGCCTCGGGCTTTGAGTTGTTCGATTGAGGATAGTTGGGTGGAGGAATTGTTGTCTATCCTATGTTAGGATAAATTATAGCTGAGAAGGTAAAAATTATATTCGGTGAAGAAATATATCAAAAGGGTTATTTATTTTAAAATGCTTAAGCATAGTAGTTGACAAATCTATTTCATTTATGCGAAACCTTCGCCCCAGAAGAGTTACAAATTATTTATGCAATTTGTGTTCTGACAATGGACAATTTTCGTAAGGTAATCGAATTTAATGCACAAATCTTCGTTAAGAACCCCGTTACAAACTATTTCATTCACCTGTTACGAATAATTGTATTTAAAAAGTCAGAATGCAAATTGCATACATTAATTATTACTTGGTAGGATAAACATTATGGCTTGTCCTACCTAACAACATCTCATGCATGCAATTTGTATTCTGACTATTGAAATACAATTATTCGTAATAGTTGAGTGAAATAATTCCCAAATCTCCCGCTTCTCCTTCTTTCTCTCTTTCCTTCTTTTTCTCCTCTCGCTCTCTCCCTCTGCCTC